TTGATTCAAAGCCGCACACGATCATTATCTTTTTATGTGTTGAGAAAAAGTGCAACATATTTAAAAATTAAATATTCTCGACATTTTTAAATTGAAAACCGAATAAGAAATCAGCATTTTAGAAATAGGAGGAGTTTAATTTTTTTTATTGGCTAAAAGTCTTTATTTTTTTAGGGGTTGAGACTAAATGTTATATTTTTAAAAATGAAATACTCTCGCCATTTTTATATTAAAAAACGAATAAGAAAACAGCATTTTAGAAAAAGGAGGAGTTTAATATATTTTTATAGTACAAAAGTCTTTATTTTTTTAGAGGTTGAGACTAATTGTTGCATTTTTAAAAATTAAATATTCTCGCCATTTTTAAATTGAAAAACGAATAAGAAATCAGCATTTTAGAAAAAGGAGGAGTTTAATATTTTTTTATTGGCTAAAAGTCTTTATTATTTTAGGGGTTGAGACTAAATGTTATATTTTTAAAAATGAAATACTCTTGCCATTTTTAAATTGAAATACGAATAAGAAATCAGCATTTTAGAAAAAGGAGGAGTTTAATATTTTTTTATTGGCTAAAAGTCTTTATTTTTTTGGAGGTTGAGACTAAATGTTACATTTTTAAAAATGAAATACTCTCGCCATTTTTATATTGAAAAACAAATAAGAAAACAGCATTTTAGAAAAAGGAGGAGTTTAATATTTTTTTATTGGCTAAAAGTCATTATTTTTTTAGAGGTTGAGACTAAATGTTACATTTTTAAAAATGAAATACTCTCGCCATTTTTATATTGAAAAACGAATAAGAAAACAGCATTTTAGAAAAAGGAGGAGTTTAATATTTTTTTATTAGCTAAAAGTCATTATTTTTTTAGAGGTTGAGACTAAATGTTACATTTTTAAAAATGAAATACTCTCGCCATTTTTATATTGAAAAACGAATAAGAAAACAGCATTTTAGAAAAAGGAGGAGTTTAATATTTTTTTATTGGCTAAAAGTCTTTATTTTTTTAGAGGTTGAGACTAAATGTTATATTTTTAAAAATGAAATACTCTCGCCATTTTTATATTAAAAAACGAAAAAAAAACAGCATTTTAGAAAAAGGAGGAGTTTAATATTTTTTTATTGGCTAAAAGTCATTATTTTTTTAGAGGTTGAGACTAAATGTTACATTTTTAAAAATGAAATACTCTCGCAATTTTTATATTGAAAAACGAATAAGAAAACAGCATTTTAGAAAAAGGAGGAGTTTAATATTTTTTTATTGGCTAAAAGTCATTATTTTTTTAGAGGTTGAGACTAAATGTTACATTTTTAAAAATGAAATACTCTCGCCATTTTTATATTGAAATACGAATAAGAAATCAGCATTTTAGAAAAAGGAGGAGTTTAATATTTTTTTATTGGCTAAAAGTCATTATTTTTTTAGAGGTTGAGACTAAATGTTACATTTTTAAAAATGAAATACTCTCGCCATTTTTATATTGAAAAACGAATAAGAAAACAGCATTTTAGAAAAAGGAGGAGTTTAATATTTTTTTATTGGCTAAAAGTCTTTATTTTTTTAGAGGTTGAGACTAAATGTTATATTTTTAAAAATGAAATACTCTCGCCATTTTTATATTAAAAAACGAATAAGAAAACAGCATTTTAGAAAAAGGAGGAGTTTAATATATTTTTATTGTACAAAAGTCTTTATTTTTTTAGAGGTTGAGACTAATTGTTGCATTTTTAAAAATTAAATATTCTCGCCATTTTTAAATTGAAAAACGAATAAGAAATCAGCATTTTAGAAAAAGGAGGAGTTTAATATTTTTTTATTGGCTAAAAGTCTTTATTATTTTAGGGGTTGAGACTAAATGTTATATTTTTAAAAATGAAATACTCTTGCCATTTTTAAATTGAAATACGAATAAGAAATCAGCATTTTAGAAAAAGGAGGAGTTTAATTTTTTTTTATTGGCTAAAAGTCTTTATTTTTTTAGAGGTTGAGACTAAATGTTACATTTTTAAAAATGAAATACTCTCGCCATTTTTATATTGAAAAACAAATAAGAAAACAGCATTTTAGAAAAAGGAGGAGTTTAATATTTTTTTATTGGCTAAAAGTCATTATTTTTTTAGAGGTTGAGACTAAATGTTACATTTTTAAAAATGAAATACTCTCGCCATTTTTATATTGAAAAACGAATAAGAAAACAGCATTTTAGAAAAAGGAGGAGTTTAATATTTTTTTATTGGCTAAAAGTCTTTATTTTTTTAGAGGTTGAGACTAAATGTTATATTTTTAAAAATGAAATACTCTCGCCATTTTTATATTAAAAAACGAAAAAAAAACAGCATTTTAGAAAAAGGAGGAGTTTAATATTTTTTTATTGGCTAAAAGTCATTATTTTTTTAGAGGTTGAGACTAAATGTTACATTTTTAAAAATGAAATACTCTCGCAATTTTTATATTGAAAAACGAATAAGAAAACAGCATTTTAGAAAAAGGAGGAGTTTAATATTTTTTTATTGGCTAAAAGTCATTATTTTTTTAGAGGTTGAGACTAAATGTTACATTTTTAAAAATGAAATACTCTTGCCATTTTTAAATTGAAATACGAATAAGAAATCAGCATTTTAGAAAAAGGAGGAGTTTAATTTTTTTTTATTGGCTAAAAGTCTTTATTTTTTTAGAGGTTGAGACTAAATGTTACATTTTTAAAAATGAAATACTCTCGCCATTTTTATATTGAAAAACAAATAAGAAAACAGCATTTTAGAAAAAGGAGGAGTTTAATATTTTTTTATTGGCTAAAAGTCATTATTTTTTTAGAGGTTGAGACTAAATGTTACATTTTTAAAAATGAAATACTCTCGCCATTTTTATATTGAAAAACGAATAAGAAAACAGCATTTTAGAAAAAGGAGGAGTTTAATATTTTTTTATTGGCTAAAAGTCTTTATTTTTTTAGAGGTTGAGACTAAATGTTACATTTTTAAAAATGAAATACTCTCGCCATTTTTATATTGAAAAACGAATAAGAAAACAGCATTTTAGAAAAAGGAGGAGTTTAATATTTTTTTATTGGCTAAAAGTCTTTATTTTTTTAGAGGTTGAGACTAAATGTTACATTTTTAAAAATGAAATACTCTCGCCATTTTTATATTGAAAAACAAATAAGAAAACAGCATTTTAGAAAAAGGAGGAGTTGGACTTTGATCTTTTTAAAGTTTTTATTCTTTTAAGATAATAAAACTGAATGTTATATTTTTGAATAATTAAATATTCTAGAAATGGTTTAAAAAGAAAAAAGAAGTACAATTTTTTTTATAGGTAGAAAGAGTTTGAAGTTTTTTTAAATCTCTAAAAATACTTAAGTGTAATAGCAAAAAAGAAAATAAAGACTTTTGGCAAATGCAAAATAGATTTAAACTCCTCTTATTTTAAAGATGATATTTTCTTATTCGTTTTTTAATTGAAAAATGTCGAGAATAGTTAATTTTTATAAATATAACACTTTTAATCTGTATTTTTTATGCTTTTTTTTATTTTTTAGTGTTTGTGACTTATTAGAAATATTTAAAATTGTTTTTTTGAACGTATTTCATTTAGTCATTAATATTAACATGTTTACTGCTTTTTTAAACTAGATTTGTCACCAACTCTTTATTCGACATTTTGGATTTTAATGACAGTTACTTGCTACGATTATTCTTATTTTATTATTTCGTGTCACATTACTGTAAAAGCACTGACCTAAAATTATTCTGTATTATTAAAAACGTGTCCTGTTGTCAGGAATGTCACAGAATTTGAATGAAGACATTGCTTTTCATTATTGTTTGCACCTCTTAAACGAGCTTTCCTAACTCATTCTTGGCCTTCAGGACCATAAAGATAATATAAACCTGTTTTTGCCTGTTTTCTTTTAATGCGTAGATCACCAAAATACAGCCTTTGTTTTGATGCTTTCCCTCTCCTTCACTGCTGCTGCTTCTTACGGTGACTCATCCCCACTCACGCTACTGTCTACATTTTCCCCACTCTATTTGAGAGCTCGTCGGGAGCGAATATTTCCAACCCTCATTTACACCCGATTTTACTAACAGAGAAAAGAATTACATTTTTAGAAGAAAAATAGAATTACATTCTATTTTCACTCTAACGATATTATACTATCATACTAAAAAGGGCTATTCCTACATGTATTATCTCCAGGCATTTATTGTTGTCGCTAATTGAGATAAAAATAAATAGTTTTGTTTTAATTATTTTTTTCATGCTTTCAATCTACAGATTGACCTGTTAGTGTATTTCATGTTTTAGAAAAATAGCTATTATGATCAATCATCGCATTATTTTTTAGGATTTATTTGGTTTTTTACGATTTACATTTTTTTGGATTTTTGTTTTTGTCATTAGTTTTATTTTGTGTTTGTTTTAGAAATAAGTTATTAATTTTTTTTTCGTATTTTTCTTTTCGTCATACGTTTTTTTGTATTATTAGTATTATTTTGTGTTTTTTTAGAAATAATTTATTAGTCTTTATTTCGTATTTTATTTATTTTATTTATTTAGTCATAAGTTTTTTTGTAGTGTTAGTTTTATTTTCTGTTTTTTCTAGACATAAGTTATTAATCTTTTTTTCGTATTTTTGTTTTAAGTCATAAGTTTTTTTGTAGTATTAGTTTTATTTTCTTTCATTTCATGTTAATATTAAATCATGAAAAAAGAAACCATCTTTTATTCCTGGCATTGATTGATGACGTATGAAATCGTTTTTTTTTATTTTTTAAAACTTTCATAAGAATGAATTTTTTAATGTGTTAAGTATTTTTTTAAAATCGCTCTTTTATCGATCATTTTATTACTTATTGAGTTTTTAGTATTAGTTTTTATTTTTTAAGATTATATTCTATTTAACATTGATATTACAGCATTAATTAATTCATTCATTCATTCATTTTTGATTAAAAAAGCATTTTTTTGTCAGTAATTGCGACGTTTGATTATATAAAAATGGCTTTTGCGAATAGATTGTCGTGTTACATTTGTAACAGAGCATATGCTCCAAACCTTATGGCCCGAATTGATGGAGATGTTAATGATGAAAAAAGGTTAATAGCTATTGCTAGACGCGAAGAACTAAACAGACCAGCTTTAGTCGTAACAGATCGTACAAGATTGTGTATCAATTGCAATCAGTCTGTCACAAATGAAATAAGAGAATTAGAACAAAATCCATCATGTTTGAGGCTTAATGTTTTGACCCAAACGGCAAATGGGAGTTGCTTAATATGCAACGGAGTTGTTAATATTCACAGACTTAGTCTTAAATGTAGAATAAATGTCTTTCTTTCCCAGAACATTTACATACCAGCCAACGTTAAATCTTGCGATCACCATTTAAACAATTTAGGATTACTTTTGCAGCCTTTGTTACAAGGTTTACGGTTTGTTAACAGGCCTTATAGAATAAATAGACAAGATTTTCAACCATTTTTTGAGGGAGTACGCAATGCTGCAGTAGAACGAGTAAGTTTCATTGATATTGACTCTATGTCAGATGAGGATTTTAGAGCATGTTTTCCAGTTTCGAAAGATCATTTCGAAGAATTGTACAATTTTCGCGTACCTGTACCTCGTGAAAATGGCCACAGATATGTCACAAGAAAGGACCTTTTAGCATTCTTATGCAAGATGAGACAAGGACTACCTGATAAGTTTTTGAAAGTAATGTTCAATTACCCAAGCAGACAATCCGTAAGCCTGGCAATTGCAACTGTCAGACAGTCCTTAATGCTGCAATTTGTTCCTCAAAACATTGGTTTCCATGCTATAACACCGAATCAATATATCGAAGAACATGTAACCGAATTCGCAAATGAATTGTACAATCCAGATCCAAACAATCCGAAAGTAATATCTGTAATAGATGGAACTTATGTCTATTGTGAAAAAAGCAGCAACTTTCGAACTTTAAGGCAGACGTTTTGTCTGCATAAAGGCTCTTATTTAGTTAAACCTGACATGATTGTAGCACCTAATGGCTACATATTGACAATTCAAGGTCCGTATTTCTCAGATGGCAGAAATAATGATGCTGCCATATTAAGAAATGAATTTAATATTGACGGAGAAAGCATGAGAGAATGGTTCCCACGTGGTTTCATCATGATTGTTGATCGAGGCTACAGAGATGTAACTCCATTATTGACGGAACTAGGAATTGACTGGCGAATGCCACCATACATACCCCAAGGACAAAATCAGTTGTCAACAGAAGAAGCGAACGAGTCTCGCCTAATAACGAAAAATAGGTGGGTTGTTGAGAGTGTCAATGGACATATGAAGACAGTTTTTAAATTCTTGGCTCAAAAAATAAGTATCACTCATTTACATAACCTTCAACATTTTTTACTTATTTGTGGCGCTATTCTAAACAGATACTATCAGCGATTAGAAATGGAAGGAGCAAATGCACAGTTGGCAAGGCAAATGCTACAAAAATCAAGAGAGCCAAACATTGTTCAAGCTTACGTGGAGCTTGAGGAACTGCACAGGAGAAATGCAAGAAGATGGATCCTTTTGAATGATAACGAAGTTCCAGATTTTCCACGAATTACACTGGAATATTTAAAAGGTGTAACCTTTGGAGAATATCAAATAGAATTGTCTCCAGCATACATACAAGACAAACTCCAAAGAGAAAATGATCAAACCTTCCAGTTAGAAATTCCACGTAACCAAGACATTGTTCCTGGATTGATTAGAGTAAGAATTCTTTCCAGATTCAGAAATGCAGGAAAGCATCAGTTGTGGATGAAATATAAAACACCGGTCCGAAGAAATGAGGCTGAACCAATTGAAGGGTATTATTGCACTTGCAGATCAGGTGCACGCACCTTAGGAACATGTGCACATATAACAAGTGTCTTGTGGTACCTAGGATACGCTAGACACGAACAAAATATTAGATACCCTTCAATTGCGCTTCTTAACATCATATTAGATGCTGCTAATAGGCCAATCCCAGAAGACCTTAACCAAATGCAGCAAGATGATTAATACTTATTTAATAAGTAAAAGTAAACAAAAAATATTATACAATGATGATAAGAATATAATCTTAAAAATATAATCTTTTTTTAACACATGTAAGTACATGATCTGGGAGTATAATTGTCTGAAAAAATTAAAAAAATGTAAAAAAACATACCAAAAAAATTCGCACAAAACTAATACCTTCTCATATGATAAGAAAGTAATCAAAATAAAAAAAGAAATAATTAAAAAAATAAGGAAGACTTTTTAGGTACTTTAAATGATTGTATGTGACTTTGAAACAACAGTAGTTGCTGAATGGTTGTTGATAGTAACTGTATTTTTTTATCACATTCAGCTAAAAAATCTAAGGCTGTCTGTGTTAAAAGAAAATAAGAAAGCCTCTTTATGTACTTAAAATGATTGTGAGTGACTTTCATTCAACAATGGTTGATGTATGGTTGTTGATAGCAACTATAATATTCTTTTAACACATCGGATTACACAATCTGGGCAAATAATAGTTAGAAGAAGATAAGGGATTATTTTTAGGTACTTTCAATAAATGTGTGCGACTTTGATTCAACCATAATCGTTTTATGGTTGTTGGTAGCAACTACAATATTGTTTTAACACATCCCACCACACAATCTGGCCATATAATTGTTGGAGAAAAATGTCGGAGGCTTCTAAGTTACTTTAGTCAATTCTGCGTGACATTAATTCAACAATGGTTGTTGTATGGTTGTTTGTAGCAACTATAATATTGTTTTAACACATTAGACTGCACAATACAGGCGTATAATATTTAAAAAAAATTAAAAATAACAGTCTTTATAGTTACTTTAAATGGTTGTGTGTGACTTTAAATGAACAATTGTTGTTGTATGGTTGTTGGTAGTGAAAATAATATTTTTTAACTCATACGAATTCTCTTCCTAGGCGTTTAAGTGTTTAAAAAAATAAGAAAGACTTTTAATGTAATAAAAATAATTGTGCACGACTTTGAATTAACAATGGTTGTTGTATGGTTGTTGGTTGCATCTATAATATCTTTTTAATACATACGAATATACAATCTGGGCGTATAAGTTTAAAAATAAGAGTCTTTATATATTTTCTAATCGATTAAAATGATTGTGTGTGACTTGCATTAACAATGGTTGCTGTATGGTTGTTTGTAGCAACTATAATATTTTTTTAACACTTTCTACTATACAATCTAGGCGTATAATTGTTGCAGGAATATCAAAAAATCTTTCTACTTTTCTAAAATAAAAGCGTGTGACTTTTTATCAACAATGGTTGTTTTATGGTTGTTGGTTGCAGTAATATTTACCATACATGAACTTTAAACGCTTTTAAATAAATGTTCTTTGCTTTTGAGAGCTGCAGAATATTTATTTCATTCTGTTTTTCATTTTCTATGTTTGCGCTTTACCCTTTTTAAGCTGTAGTTTGTACAGTACCTTTTATGTCTTTAATGTTGTATAACAAAAAAACTGTCCATTATTTTGAGTTTTGGCATTTACATTTCTTAATCAGGAGGTCATAAACTACAAAATTGCAAAGTATAACAAAATTTCACCGGGATCTTTTTTCCCATGTATTTGGTGCGGGGTCCTTTATTTTTTTTGTACGGAAATCTTCCGGAAAATTTCCAAATATTTATTTTTTTTGTACGGAAATCTTCCGGAAAATTTCCAGAAATTTATTTTTTTTACGGAAATCTTCCGGAAAACTTCCGGAAATTTATTTTTTTTTACGGAAATCATCCGGAAATCTTCCGGAAATCTTCCGGAAATTTATTTTTTTTTTACGGAAATCTTCCGGAAAACTTCCGGAAATTTATTTTTTTTTTACGGAAATCTTCCGGAAAACTTCCGGAAATTTATTTTTTTTTACGGAAATCATCCGGAAATCTTCCGGAAATCTTCCGGAAAATTTCCGGAAATTTATTTTTTTTGTACGGAAATCTTCCGGAAAATTTCCGGAAAACTTCTGGAAATTTATTTTTTTTGTACGGAAATCTTCCGGAAAATTTCCGGAAATTTATTTTTTTTTTACGGAAATCTTCCGGAAAATTTCCGGAAAACTTCTGGAAATTTATTTTTTTTGTACGGAAATCTTCCGGAAAATTTCCGGAAATTTATTTTTTTTTTACGGAAATCTTCCGGAAAATTTCCGGAAGATTTCCGTAAAAAAAAAATAAATTTCCGGAAGGTTTCCGGAAGTTTTCCGGAAGATTTCCGTACAAAAAAAATAAATTTCCGGAAGATTTCCGGATGATTTCCGTAAAAAAAAAATAAATTTCCGGAAGTTTTCCGGAAGATTTCCGTACAAAAAAAATAAATTTCCGGAAGATTTCCGTAAAAAAAAATAAATTTCCGGAAGTTTTCCGGAAGATTTCCGTAAAAAAAAAATAAATTTCCGGAAATTTTCCGGAAGATTTCCGTAAAAAAAAAATAAATTTCCGGAAGTTTTCCGGAAGATTTCCGTACAAAAAAAATAAATTTACGGAAATTTTCCGGAAGATTTCCGTAAAAAAAAAATAAATTTCCGGAAGTTTTCCGGAAGATTTCCGTACAAAAAAAATAAATTTACGGAAATTTTCCGGAAATTTATTTTTTTTTTACGGAAATCTTCCGGAAAATTTCCGGAAATTTATTTTTTTTGTACGGAAATCTTCCGGAAAATTTCCGGAAAACTTCTGGAAATTTATTTTTTTTGTACGGAAATCTTCCGGAAAATTTCCGGAAATTTATTTTTTTTTTACGGAAATCTTCCGGAAAATTTCCGGAAAACTTCTGGAAATTTATTTTTTTTGTACGGAAATCTTCCGGAAAATTTCCGGAAATTTATTTTTTTTTTACGGAAATCTTCCGGAAAATTTCCGGAAGATTTCCGTAAAAAAAAAATAAATTTCCGGAAGTTTTCCGGAAGTTTTCCGGAAGATTTCCGTACAAAAAAAATAAATTTCCGGAAGATTTCCGGATGATTTCCGTAAAAAAAAAATAAATTTCCGGAAGTTTTCCGGAAGATTTCCGTACAAAAAAAATAAATTTCCGGAAGATTTCCGTAAAAAAAAAATAAATTTCCGGAAGTTTTCCGGAAGATTTCCGGAAGATTTCCGGATGATTTCCGGAAGATTTCCGTAAAAAAATAATAAATTTCCGGAAGTTTTCCGGAAGTTTTCCGGAAGATTTCCGTACAAAAAAAATAAATTTCCGGAAGATTTCCGGATGATTTCCGTAAAAAAAAAATAAATTTCCGGAAATTTTCCGGAAGATTTCCGGAAGATTTCCGTACAAAAAAATAAATTTCCGGAAGATTTCCGTAAAAAAAAAATAAATTTCCGGAAATTTTCCGGAAGATTTCCGTACAAAAAAAATAAATTTCCGGAAATTTTCCGGAAGTTTTCCGGAAGTTTTCCGGAAGATTTCCGTACAAAAAAAATAAATTTACGGAAATTTTCCGGAAGATTTCCGGAAGATTTCCGTACAAAAAAAATAAATTTCCGGAAGATTTCCGGATGATTTCCGTAAAAAAATAATAAATTTCCGGAAGTTTTCCGGAAGATTTCCGTACAAAAAAAATAAATTTCCGGAAGATTTCCGGATGATTTCCGTAAAAAAAAAATAAATTTCCGGAAGTTTTCCGGAAGATTTCCGTACAAAAAAAATAAATTTACGGAAATTTTCCGGAAGATTTCCGGAAGATTTCCGTAAAAAAAAAATAAATTTCCGGAAATTTTCCGGAAGATTTCCGTAAAAAAAAAATAAATTTCCGGAAATTTTCCGGAAGATTTCCGTACAAAAAAAATAAATTTCCGGAAATTTTCCGGAAGTTTTCCGGAAGATTTCCGTAAAAAAAAAATAAATTTCCGGAAGTTTTCCGGAAGATTTCCGTAAAAAAAAAATAAATTTCCGGAAGTTTTCCGGAAGTTTTCCGGAAGATTTCCGTACAAAAAAAATAAATTTCCGGAAGATTTCCGGATGATTTCCGTAAAAAAAAAATAAATTTCCGGAAGTTTTCCGGAAGTTTTCCGGAAGATTTCCGTACAAAAAAAATAAATTTCCGGAAGATTTCCGTAAAAAAAAAATAAATTTCCGGAAGTTTTCCGGAAGATTTCCGTAAAAAAAAAATAAATTTCCGGAAGTTTTCCGGAAGATTTCCGTAAAAAAAAAATAAATTTCCGGAAGTTTTCCGGAAGATTTCCGTACAAAAAAAATAAATTTACGGAAATTTTCCGGAAGTTTTCCGGAAGATTTCCGTAAAAAAAAAATAAATTTCCGGAAGTATTCCGGAAGTTTTCCGGAAGATTTCCGTACAAAAAAAATAAATTTCCGGAAGATTTCCGGATGATTTCCGTACAAAAAAAATAAATTTACGGAAATTTTCCGGAAGATTTCCGGAAGATTTCCGTACAAAAAAATAAATTTCCGGAAGATTTCCGGAAGATTTCCGTAAAAAAAAAATAAATTTCCGGAAGTTTTCCGGAAGATTTCCGTACAAAAAAAATAAATTTCCGGAAGATTTCCGGATGATTTCCGTAAAAAAAAAATAAATTTCCGGAAAATTTCCGAATAATTTCTGAAAAAAAAAAAATTTCCGGAAAATTTCCGGAAGTTTTCCGGAAAACTTCCGGAAGCCTCTTCCGGAAAGTTTCCGGAAGTTTTCCGGAAAACTTCCGGAAACCCTTTCAGCTGGGTGACAATAAAGAGAATTAATTTTTTTTTACAAAAAAAAATTCAATGCCACTGAAAATAGTATAATGAAATTTTAACACTTTGAAAGAGGAACAAAATATAAATTATTTAAAATTTTCCTGAAAATTAAGAAAAGAAAATTCTTCTCTTGTCAGTAGAAATTCAGAATAACCTTAAATGAGGTTCTGGAGCCCCCACTAATTAAAATAGGGTCGTCACATACTACTCACTACAAGTTAAGTAATGAAAATACAAGAAACATCTTAAAAAAGATATTTTCTTGTAATTTCTTTAAAAACTTAAACTGACACTAAA